TCTTATTTTAGTAATGAAAAGTCCTGCTACCGAGAATGCCCTTTCGGATTCAATTGATGTGAGTGGAATCGTGTTTAATGTATTTAATAGAAGACAGATGGGGTACAATTCTAGAACCGAATGACGCGATTGGGACTTTAACAGAGCTGTAGAGCATATTATAGGAACAAAAAAGTCAAAGGAACCAAGCCCGTACGGGCAACCCTACGCGAGATATAATCCATTCAAAATGACACTATGTGAACTTTTTGAGACCCTCAAAAATGGGGTAAAATTTAAAAGTGAAAATTTTCAGAACTAAATCTCAAAACCGCGTTTTTCTGTTAGAACTTACTGAAGACTCCTAAAACCTCCCTAAGCACGAGGATCGCCACCTTTTGACCGCTACTTCCGGGGAGCGCCATAGGGAGTCGCGCCGCTCTCTCTCTGCTAAGCCTGTCGCGTGTTTAACAGGCAGCAAGCCGTCCAGATATTATAACGCCACTTATTGGTGAAGACTAAAGAAAAACGCGGTTAACACGGCTAAGAAAGGGGAGCGCGCGCTTTTTTTTAAACACTGAAAAAAAATTTCACTTACGTCATGCGTCCCTTTTGGACGCAGAACCATGTGACCGGAAATGACGTAGGCAATTCTTTGGAGGGCTATATCTCGCGAAGGGTTATACACAGAGGTATGGTTCTTTTGACTTTTATGCTCACACGGGGTTATACAATTTGCAGGGGCGCCAATCGCGTCATTCGGTCCTAGAATCTTGCCTTCCCAGAATACTTCCCGGGTTTAAAAAATAACTGGGATCCCGTTTGAGAAACGCAATCAAAAACGCAAAAAAATTGCATCTAAAATAGTACAGTAGAAGCGGAGTTCAGTGTAATCCTTAACTTTCTCCCTCTCCCCCGCGGGGGAAATTTCGAAAAATCCCTTCTTAGGGTACGTCGTGAGAACATGCAGTACACTAACTGCTTACCAAATTTCAACTTTCAACTCCTAACCATTTGGGCTCTGCGCTTATTATTATTATCATCACCATCACCCATTTCGATTATATTATAAGATAATTATCGATAATTTATATACTAAAATATAGTACTAAATTTGTGAGGCCCTAGACGTCATTTTTTTCGCCTATATGTAAAGCCGTTTATGGCAGTGGTTCGTGTTGTTTTTGATTTCTTCCATCAGTTCAGTCCGAACCGAAAATGTTCCCTTTCATATTTATATATTCAGCTTTTCTCAACAAAAGGAATCAATTAAAGAATGACGAATTCCGAGTTGCCTTCCAGTTCGACTTTCGACTCTTCCCATAATGGTGTTACTCTGTCATTACGGGAAAATTCAGAGCCTGAGGGAAATCTTATTTGGAGGAACCTTCAATTTTGGATTAGTAAAAACTTTTGGTGCTTTTACAAACTTTGTTGTTCCAATTTTTGTGACGAATGCTTTCGATAATGAATAGTGTCACACTATGAAACAGGAAAGAAAATGCTCGAAACGAGACGAAACTCGACAGAGAGAATTAAGTTCGGAACAATAGATTTTAATTTCAAACAATTACATGTCTCTCATAGCCCAATATACAGAATGATCAGTAAGTAGTGAGATCACCATGTTGGACGATACAATCGTTAATGCGACGTGGCATCGGTTTAATGAGTGCTCGAATGCTGTCTTGGGTACTGTTGATGATATTGTCATGTGGTGTTGATCGTAGTACATAGTTTATCTACATTACGAGGCTGTGTGAGAGCATTCACTCGACGTCGTGTTTCAGGTTCTCGATTGTGAGAGATCTGGGAATCGTGCTGGACAAGGAATCACCTGAACGCTTTTCAAAGCATGCCTGTTAATGTTCGTTATGCAGGGCCACGCGTTATCCTGCTGGAACATGACGTTGAGTATGACCTGAATATATGGTTGTATGACGAGCTGCACACCTCATCATAATGGCATGCTGTCAATGTGTCCCTGATACATACTAGAGGTCAGCTGTTATTATGGCACCCTAAACGATGACTCCATATTGATGAGTTGTATGGTGGTCCAAATTGGCGGAAGGATCAGCCAGAATGCCTCTTCACCTCCATATCATCGCTGGCGATCTTCCTTGCCGAGGCAGAATCTCGATTCGTCTCTGAACACTACAATGCCATTTGTCAACCTGGAGCGACACCACTGCATTTACGACGACGGTGCAGTGTGAGATATAATCTTCACAACGGACGGCTTGACGCAAACCAACGAGAAATAGTCATCATTGATATTGGAGCATTCAAATCTATCTGTATACTCTATAGAATGTCGACAACTGTGGATTATGGAGGGGGTTACTACATGACGTCAGATACGTCAATCTGTGTGTTGTGACATTCATCTGTGCTCCATTCCCACTATGATGGTGCACATTTCGTTCTGCTGACCACCGTCCCCAAATTCGACCCATGGTTGTAGCATTCCGTTAAGTTTCTTCTGCAATAATCAGGTTGTAAAATTAAAATTTAGACATTAAAAAAATTATTGACGATTAACTTAAAATCGATTACAGTTCAGCCTGATACGTAATCACTATCAATATCAGTCACATCTCATCTTTGCTGAAAATAGAATGATTAGGGTTTTTCTTTGAAGAAAGTCTCAAGCATTGTTCTGACATGGGTATTAGCATTGAACTGTATATTGACAATATGGTTCTGCAGGGTGCAAAATAGACGGTAACCAAGTCTAGGTGGATGAAGCAAAACCTCCCAGCCCAAACTGGCCAGTTTCTCTAAGGTCATCTTTGATCAATGTGTTGGTGTATTGTCGTGGTGTTATCGGACTTTGTCAATTTTTGAACTAAGTTCTTTGATATTAGTATTCAAACGATCCGGTTAACGGTAGAATATTTTCATGAGTGTTGATTGGAAGCAGCACCATAATGACGACGCCACGTACTGTACATTCCACGAAAGCAGATCACCACTTTCTGCACTACAGTAGAACCTCGAAAACTCGGCTCTCGATAACCCGGCACTCCGGATAACTCGGCCACACCCTGGCAGGGCAAAAAAATCCTTAGTTAATTAATTTTCATTATAGACAGCTTTATAAAAGTATAAAAGCTCTATTAAAGAATTTTTCTGAGGTCTGTCTTATTAGGTAAATTACTGTACACAGTGTATTCATTAATTTTCATTTTCATGTAGTAAAGGCTCTATGCCTTCATAAAGGACGTACTTTTCCTTTGTTTAAGGGTATTTGGGCAGTTTATTCTCTGTTATATTCTCAAGTAAACAATGCATACAAGTACAGTACAGTATTTTCTGAGGAAACACTCGTACTTATTTTTTTTAAACCCCATTCCCGATAACTCGACATTTTCACAAACTCGGCCACCCTTCGGTCCACATTAGGCCGAGTTTTCGAGGTTCTACTGTATTGGTCTTTTGACATTTGCAAATCTGTTTGACCTTTGTTAACCGATGAAAGTTTGAATACATGATGTAGTGTAAAACCCACTTCTCATATCCGTCACATTAAGCTGTGAATGTGACGGATATGAGAAGTGACTTGAATGTGAAGTGCTTACCAGCAATGAATTACAGATGGTGACTCGTTAATTTTGTTTGCAGCAATCAATTTACAGAGCAATCACTTGCCTAGTTTGTTCACCTTGCTAAGAGCATGAAGGTGATTGACAATGGTTGTATGGGAACAATCCAAGTTTTCGTGCTAATTCTCTAGTGATCAATCGTTAGAGGCTGTCCATAAATGACGTTCACACTGAAAGAGAGGGAGGGGATTACGTCAAGTCAGACAAGGGGGAGGAGAGCGGTTGAGCTCAGTGGATGTCCATTTCAGTAATTTTATAGTTTATGCATTTTATTATATTTATTTCAAAATTTCTTGTATATTTCGTTTCTACTTATGGCATCTGTCATTCATAAAGAGATAAAGATTTTAAGGAAGGGCTGAGATTTTTGGACGTCCAGAGGGGATTGGGAGTAAAAATTTTAAGAAAAATGCGGACGTAACTTATGGACAATTCCTTATCTATCAGTTGCAGATCATCATCAACGGCAAAATCGTTGAAGGGATGGTATTCATCTTGAAGTGAGAAATCTACATTGTTGAATTTCTTGAACCAATTGTAACAGGTCTGCCTATTGACTGTCCTCACAAATTATCTTGCGGAGGAGATCGTGAATCTTCGTTGCGTTGTGGTCACTTTTGAGAGCAACAGTACGAAAGTGTGTTCTTTCGAAAGTTTCACGTTGTCAGACATTGCTGATGCGCCCATTTGAAATATGGATGAAACGCCCTGGTTGCTCTACTTGATATACCTACATCTAACGTTCTAGAACATCCTTTTCCAGTCTTCTCTAGGTAACAATCGAAATGTCTAAATTTCATCTTTACAGCCTGATACTTCCAGGTGATATTTGCGTTGTATATAGCCCTGCAATGAAATCTTGAGCAAATTTGTTCATTTAATTAAATGGCTATCACGGTATCTTCAGTCCTAAATCTTTATCCGGACACACACAAAAAAAAAAATTGACAAACATCTGCAAAGTTAACTTCATAGTTTTTCCTCTCTATTATCACGCTTCGAGCGATTAGCTCGAAACTGCATCAATTTGCATAATGCTGCGACAAAACTTTTATGGTATAGAAATTATCTTAAAATTAAATAGTAGCAAAGATGCTATCACAAAATATATTTTCAGTTTTTCGATGAAATTCCGTAACTTTTAGTCTTTTCCCTCATTTTTAAAACTTAACCTACTGTTTATTATTAGTTTCACATTTATTAGACTATAGAAAAAAATATATCAAACTTAAAATTTGCCATCAAATTTGCATTTTTATAATTAATAATTTAAATATAAATGCGATGAATTTAACTGAAAATTGGCGCGAAAAATATTTTTCATTTAACAGAATGTGCCATAATGACTCACAATAAAGTATTTTATGGAAGAATTGGTAAATATTTGTTAAGAATATCGGAAGAACGATACTATTTTTTGTTCGAATTAAAAGTTTTATTCAACGGAACAAAGTACAGGGAAGTTTCGAGAGCCGCACAGAGTATGTCGACGACACTAGATGATTTAAATTACAAAGATCTGTCACAATCTCAAACTGATATATATATATATATTTATGTGTGTGTATGTTTGTATATATATATATATACGACAACGTAACTTCGATCGTGAGAAATACAGTTTAATTGCAGAAATAATTACGTAACGCAACTGAATTTTGTACATTTACACGGAACGAAACGCTTCACTATTTTAATACGAAATGATTTATTATTACAATTAAGAAGTATAGAGCAATACAATTATTACGAATTTTTCCGTAATCAAATTTTTAAATTCAATATACAATCGAATGTATCGGAGTCGGATGTACGATGATAGAAAAAGGATGATTTTAAAAATAATGTAAAACCACGATGTATGATTTTCGACCGGCTTTAAAATGAAAACAAAAACACTGATGTGATGGACAAATGAATCAGAAATTCCGACTGTACAGTTTGTATGCAAAACATCGGAGTCTCGTATCGAGTGTACGTGTAAAATCCGTCAGATTCAAATTAGAGAACAGACTACCGTCGGGTATAACTGTACTCGAGGCGGCAAATCACCTAAATGACCCAGAGTGTACTCTAAACGAGTCTGGCAAACTTCTGTACATGTCGTTTCTACAAATGGGGATGAAATGTCGGCCGATGATTTCAATCTTCTTCTTCGCGATCCCTTTTTCGTTTCTGACCTCTTTGTACTTCGTCTACAAAAATATATTATTAAAAGAATTATGCATCATCGAAGTAAAAAATAAATTACACAAAATGCTCGAGTCAATTGGGATATTGGATTTAATATATATTATAGTAATTTTAGTTTAGTGTACGGAGTATCTGTTCCCCATCAGAAGTATCTGTTGGCAAATATTGTTCAGAATAATACTTGCCAATAATATTTTTCCTATTCCCGATGTTTTATTGTTTTCACACAAAATATTATGTTGAAATCGAATATTAATCGTAAAGTATACGATAAGTTTTACACTTTTTTCATTATTTATCCGACCAGTAGTTTACATAAAACAACCGATTTAATTACAGTTCCATTCCTACTTCACAACAATTGTTCTCCAATTGTTTCGAGCAATATAAATAAAAACGAAAGCTTTTGTGATTACCATTTTCTTCTCCGTCTTCGTCGTCGTCCTCGTCTTCTTCCTCCTCTTCACCACCCTCTGGATTATAGTCGTCACCTTCGCTTTCCTCCTTTAGTTACAAATAAATTCGTTTGTTAACACGAACAATTTAAAAAAATCATTTTGTAATAATCGACCTACATCAATATTATCATTTTCCAAATAGGATAAGCTAAGTTCTCCATCTTCATCCTCTTCGTCGTCCTCTCCCTCTTCTTCTTCGTCTACGTTAACGTCGTCTTCGTCCTCGTCCTCATCATCTAAAATTATTAAGAAATTGTTTTATTTATAAAATCTTAAGGCGCGTCGAAAAAGATCAGTTCTTTTTTTAACCTTCTCCGTCTTCCTCATCGTCGTCTCCACTCACTACGACTCCATCGACGTCATTTCCTGCGCGATAAATGCTTTATTAAAATTGATAAGGGAGAAAGAAAACGAACTCCGGGTAGAGACTCACCGTCTTCTTCATCTGCTTCGGAATCTTCGGCTTCTTTGTCTTCTCTGTCGTAACCGTCTAGATACTTCAAACTGGGGATGAGGTTGAACACTTTCTCTCTGTAGCTTTCTATATTTGTAACTTCGCAATTGAAAAGATCTAAATTTTTTATATTCTTGAATTCTTTCTGAAATCGAACATAACTCTTTACAAATTTAGATAAAAATATATATATTTATACATTATCACATCGGAGATACTAACTAATGGTTCCAAAGTTTCGAGATCTTTTATCTTATTGCCACTGAGATTGAGATGCGTTAATTTTGGGCTTCCGTTCAGTAAATTTAATCCTCCGGAAATCCTATTGTCGCTAAGTTCCAGCTGAAAACAAATAAATGTAAATTATCAAGCTAAATTATCACTTAAATAATTTATAGGCATATAATACTAAAGCATTTCACCTTCTTCAAATTCGGAAGTTTTGGAAATCCTTTAAGACTGGTGAGTCCAACATTAATGAGACTCAATGTTTCGAGAGCGGTGTATTCGTCAGTTAATCCCATTATTGTCGTACTTCGACAATTATCAAGATTTAATTCTTTGATCTGTAAAGAAATAAAACAAAATATTTGTATTTGTCCAATCTATATATATAAAATTGCTTGTCCTGACTGACTGAATGACTCACTGATTCATCATCGCCCAGAGCAAACCGCTCAACCTAAAGAGGTGAAATTTGGTACACAGTTAGGGTACGTCATGGAAACGCACACTAAGAAGGGATTTTTCGAAATTCCCCCGCGGTGGGGAGAAGGAGAGCATTAAAAGGCTTAACCGGAAAAACGGCTTCTACTGTACTATTTTAAATGCGATTTTTTGTTAAGTTTAGTCTTCATTAAGTACTTAAGTGTATTAAATTAATAACATTTCAGACATTGTTATAAATATTTTTATATATTTCGATTCTTTAACCAAATGTTCGAACCTTTTTAAATTCGAATTTGTTATTGCGTATTGGTTCGATTATAGAACGATTGTAAATGTTCCAGAAAATTGATCAAATTGAAAATAGTTTGTTTGATTCTCAGCAATTCTCATCATTCTCGGTGGTAGATGTTATATAACAATTATTATGGTTGTTGAAATACTGAATATAAATGGGGTTTGCTTGCAAAATCCTCGCGGGCGAAGTCGCGGGTAACAGCTAGTTATAATATAAAACAAATATCACGAAGCAAAGAATTATTTGTTGCATCATCTTCTCACAAGAAATATTTTTATTTAGGAAATACAATAATACAAACTAGTTAATGTCGGTATTTTAACTTTAAGCTTGTTTTACTTTCCAAATTCATAATTTCCGAAATTTCTCAGAACTTAAAGCAAACATAAAATATAAGTTCTTTATCGATTTTTATAAAAGTTTTCTCAAATGTTCAACAATTAAAAAATCGCATGCATTAAATCGCAAACTTTAGTGATAATCATCACAAAAGTAGTTTCTATAGTTCAGTAGTTCCTAAGTTTTCCGCTGCCTCAACCCCTGAAACTTGAGACAGATGATGAGAAGTTGAGAAGTCTTCACCTCTGAACTTCTGGTCGACCAAATACAATGGCCTTTCGAGCTTGTGCTGCATAACTTCCCTCCACAACCTTTAAAAAGAATTCGTTAAGATTTTTCATTAAAGGGAGTAAGATAGTCCCATTTTCTCGCGTGTATTTTAGTGTAATTTCATGTACAGATTTAGCGATTGGAGAAAAATCATCTTGTCTAGTTACTAATATAAAAACATTTACACGAAATGTTTTTGAATTATGAAACAAAGCATATTTTAAAAATTTTCTCATATCATCTAAATATAAAATTTGTCTATATGTGACAGGTACTTTCACCGTTTTCCTGTCTAGACTTTGAATGAGCAATTCGAATATTGTTTCTCGGTTCCACACAAAATATTTTAAAATTAAATTGTCAATACCAGAATATTTTCCCTCAGAATTAGGAACTGAAAATACTCTTTAATTTCACGAAAATGACTATCTACATTTAGGACTGCACTACAGAAAAAAAAAAATATGTAATTGTACATTTAAATGTGGGTTTGGTAAATATTTATCAAAATATGATTTAAAAAACTACTCACTTCTCAATGAAAAAAAGATTTAAGAAGTTGGATAAAAGAAAAATTTTATCCCCAAGAAAAGACGCGTGGCATTCGCTCGGAGTTGCGTGAATCCGAGATTAAGAACCACTAATAGCTAATGTGACTTTCAGTTTGCGTTGCAATTGAAGCCATTAATAATGAAGCTTTCCTCTAGGAAGGTTTTTTTCTCCGAAAACACACCTAACATGTCATAAAGACTCATTCTGGAGAACCTCATGGAGTTAATTAAGTTGCAATATACACCGGAAAACTGGATCACAGTGATGACTTATGCTGATTCTGACAGATGTTAGACGTTTTTATCCACCGTTCATTATACATATCAAAAATGAAAGATGTTACGTCGATGATCGGCACGACTCCATTGTTAAAGGGAAAGTATGATGTACAGGGGCAAGACTACTAATTTGAGGTGGAGAGCATATTTAAGCTAAATAAATTAAAAATTGCAGCTGGACATTGACAATGTCACATTAAATAATCGCTCGTTTCTCAATCTTTTTTCTTTACATATAAATATTTAATATTACAATTTCAAAAAGCAATGATAGGCTCGGTTATTGTTTATTTTGCATTGTTCTAATTGTAGTTGAATAAGTAAATTTACTCTAAACTGGAGACTGTTAGCAGGCAGCATACATTTGCAACAGGCTTAAAGCCTGCTGAGTAATGACATACTCCATAATACCAGTGCACTAAGTATTAAAATAATATACAGTATTCTAATGATATCAAAACTAGAATATAAGGTTATTTAATTTAAAAAGGATGCTGCAAAAATAAAGGTGATTTATTTGTACTTAATCAATCTCCCGAATTTACAAATGAACTTTTAAGATATATTTATATATATAATTAAAACTTTTAAATTTCAAATGTTTGGTACGGATGCCATTAGTGAGTGACACAGCACTTGTCAAAGATGTAGTCCAATTCTGTCCAAATGCATCCTATCATATCCTCTGATATTACTTCAACTGCTTCAGAGAGGTGTTGTTTCAGGCCTTCCAAGTGCCGTGGCATTGGGGGCTGATACAGTGTCACAGCATCTGGATGATCTGAAACAACAATTTCCAAAGCAGTGGAATTGATATCAAAGGATATGCTAAGATGTGTGTGAACAGAATTGGACTACCATCTTTGACATTTGTCATGTCACTGTGTCCATATCAAACACTTGTGACACGAATATTAAACTTAGCAGGTTCTATCTTTTCATGTCATTACTGTCATTTCAGGTCTAGTACAGCAAAAGGATAGAGCAAGAATATAGCTGTTATAAATCAGATTTACTTTTGCACCATCCTTTCTGAATAATCCTGAAGTTTATTTTCATCTTTTCTCTAGTCAAGTCTACTTTGAATGTTTTTTGTCACAAATATTAACTGAGAGTTGTGTAATGGTATAAGATAGAAATAGGAAAATAACATTGTTGCCAAAGCCTTGGGATCACATTAGGATCTTGCCCGCCATGGGTTTCTCATGACTACTTCAATGCATTTATTCATTTTTCCTCAGTTGTTTTGGATTTTCTTTTGATGACTTTGCATTTTATACACTATCCTTTCTTTAATCATCATTTCCATTATCAAACTCTCTTTGATTTTCATTTTTTTCTCAAAAGCTTCACCTTTACTTCCTTGATTGTTAGTTTCTCAATCTATTGCTCAAGATTTAATATTAGCAAGTTCATATACCTTTGACAATCTAATAAGTATAATTACTATTAATTCTTTTTTTTTTTCAAAATTATATCTTGAGTTTTCTTATAATTGAATTAGCTTAGAAAGGTAGTTGCTCATGTACTTGTAATCTGCTTTTTGTTAAATACATTCTTTATAATATGCAAAATTCTACAACTTGAGTTCATTGCTTCTTAAGTATCCTATACTGTATTATACCAGCAATTCCCAACCAGGGGAATGCGAGAAAAAAATTAATAACGGCGATGTTCTATAAGAATATTCGGATTTTGCATTGAGGCCTTTTGTGGTGTCTGTCATGGTACTCGATACTTAGTTTTAAATAAAAATAGAATTATATTTTTATTATACTTATGTGTGTGTGTTCTTCCTGCAATGCATTTCAATTTAAAAAGGTTGGGAACTGTTGATCTACACCATCCAGGCAATTAAAATTATTCTTTGACTATAAAAGATTAAAAATAATGCTCTATCATTAATTTAAGCCATTGAGCTTATGTAATGACTTCTATTTCATTATCCAGTTCCGAACATTATGCTATACTAACACTGCCTTAACATTACTGTTACACACGATAGCTGATCATACTTCATTTATAAATTTTAAAGTCACTGTATTCACGTAGGCATGGTTTCTTTAGTTAAACATTTCTATTTGAAATAAGTTCTCCCTCTTCAATGACATCATCTCCTTTGTGTTTTTTCTTTCGTCTTTATCAGTTTTATCTCTAATTCCTTCTTTCTTATTTTGTAATCTGTACAAATTTGCTATCTTCACTTCAAAACCAGTTCCTATCTAGTCCTACAATCTGTTACTTTAGTGTAAGTGCTGTTTGTTAGCAGATTAACAGCTTCTGAAGAAAATAACAATTAAAACAAGAAACAATTATTATTTTTTGTGTAAAGTGCCATCTACAGTTGTTTAATTAAGAATGCATTATTTTTGTTTTTAGTTATACCAATATGATTAACATTTGAATAATATGATTTACATATTTATAATATGTCTTATGATTGTTCACATATTAACCATACATAAAGCTTCATGTTTCATAAAATTCACACAGTAACGAAATATAAAATAGGGTTGTAGAACACAACAAAAGAGTAATATATAAAAATTTCAAAGAAATGTAGGAAGGGACTTGCTGCATGACCATGTTTAAATGAAGCAAAACACATCAGTAACATGAATGTTGGGACTATGGATTTACAAAACTCTTTCAAATAGTATTTTTATGTGCAAGTTTTATTTAATTATATTAAATTTAATTACTTTAAACACTATTAACTTTTAATTAAATAAATACATATTTTTCTATTTGTTTTAATATATAACATATATTTTTCTTAATAATTTAGCTTTTATTAAAAATCAGTAGTAAATTAATATACAACTATAATTACATTTGTATATTCATTCACCTTTTTAATTTATTGTGAAACTTTACTGTTTGTTACAAACTCCATCAATATAAATATTATATATATTTTTTGTTATAATATAAACAACTTTTAATTTTTATCTTTTTTTTTCTTTGTTTTTGTTTACTAAAAACTTCTAAAACAATAATAAATTCTGATCATAATAAATTATTTGAGAAAGAAATCCTTAAATATTTTTATCCTGTACATAAACAAGTGACAATAGAGAGGTTGAGGCGCACGTTTTAAACGTGTAAACGTGTACGTGTGACGTTCGGCGCTGCTTTCCCGTAAGCCTAAAAGTTTGACGAT